TGAAAAACAATGAATACAACAGATTTGTTTTGACTACTACGTCAACATTGTTCTTCCCGTTTCTCAATTCAGGAACATGTTGTAAAACTGGTGATATTTTTCTGGCCTAGAAAAATCAGCAGCCACACTGTGTGACTTACATATGTCTAAAAATCCCTCAGAGGCAACTACTTATACTGAATGCATGAATAAACTTCAGTTTGATAGAAACATGAGAAAATACCTATTTACTTTGAATGACCTTAAATCTCCAGGGCCAAATGAAATGCACTGTAAGGTACGAAAGGAACTAGTTGATGGTCAGGCTAAACCATTATATATTATCTTTGGGGAAATCTGAGAGAACTGGGAAAGTGCCAGATGACTGGAAGAGAGCTAATATTGCTCCTATCCTTAAAAAAATGAGAAAATGACTGTCTAGGGAACTACAGATCAGGTTAGTCTGAAAATTCTTGACCAGTGTATTAAAAGACAGAGCTGTAAGCACTTTAAAAGCAAGATGGTAATTAACAGAAGTCAGGATAGATTTGTGAAAAATGAATCTTGCCAGATTAAGCTTATTGCATTTTTTGATTGGATTACAATTACGATTAGTAGATTGTGGAAATGTTACAGACATAATGTACCTTGATTTCAACCAAGCAAATTATACCATGATGTTCTGATTAGCAAGCTAGTTAAGTATGGATTCAATGGCATAACAATTAAATGGATATTTAGCTGACATGAAAATGATATTTGGCATGCCCATCAATTGTTCCTCATCAGATCTGAGTAAGGTGTTGAGTGGTTTTAGATTTTAGCTCAGTATTTTTAAACACTTTTTATTAATGAAGAGACGGGGAGGCCTTGCTCACAGTCATCCATGCCTTAGTCACCTCCCATTTAGATTACTGCAATGCATTCTACATGGGGCTGGGCTTGAAGATCATCCAGAAGCTGCAGCTGGTCCAGAATGCAGCAGCACCTGCAGTTTTGGGTGCCCTGTGGTTTATCTAAACCCAACTGCTATGTGTAACACCACTGCTGTGCGAGCTGCACTGGCTTTCAGTTGCTTTCCAGTGCAATTCAAGGTGCTGGTTATCAACTTTAAAGCCTACATGGCACAACACCGGGTTACTTGCAGGACCGCTTCTCCCTCAGGATGTCTCCATGTCCTACTAAGTTAGATAGGGTGGGCATGCTCCAGATCCTCTCCTTTGGATGTTGCCATCTGATGGGACCTTGGAGGCACACCTTCTTGGTGGCTGCGTCAGCCCTTTGGAACATTCTCCCACCTAAGATGCGAGGTATCCCTACCATTTTAGCCTTCTGTAGTGTTGTGAAGACCTGGCTCTTCCCCCAAGCATTGGTCTAGGATGGGGTTGAGGTGCAAGGATTATTGGTCTGGCACCTGAGGGAAGGGTACTTTTGTTTTTAACTATGTTTCTTATGGATTGTTGTGATCTGCCTAGAAACATCATATGAGTGGTGGTGACTGGGTGGTATTCAGAGTCATACAGAGATTGCAGGTGAAAGCAAAGCTCAATGGGGCAAACCTGACCCATAGTGATCACAGTTTGGAAAACACAATTCATGGCAACTGTACAGAGTTTTTCAAATAAAATTGATCTTTTGAACAATCTTGGAACATTCTAATGGGAATTATTCCTTGTTGAACTTTCAAGAGAATTTGCTAGTTTTTTCTGTCAAAGTTCAGCTATGTTACATATAATTTTATTTCATCCCAAGTTTTACAGAACAAACTCCTGGTTGGTAAGGAATGGTTTCAGTGACTGTTGACAATTTCCATAGCCCTACAACTCCCTTTGCCCCACTAAATCTGCTTTGAAGGGTTGGGAACCTTCTAAAATAATGTGAGCAATGGCACTAGAGATTGAAGGAAGAACTTATATCTTCCCCTAAGAAGGAATTCCTTCTGGATCCTGATTTTCTCCATCAAAAAAAATACATTATTTCATTTTTGGAAATGGGCTTTGTATTCCATCCACCTGAATATCACTGCAGACTCATTAATAAACATCTTTAATATTAATAAATTTAGAACAAAAATCCTGCAGCATACTAATGCTTGTCCTATGGGTTATGATAAATTTGGCATCCTCAAAATTATTTTTCTTTAATTCACCAAAGGAACATAAAACATAATTTTGGCCATTTTTTGCAGCAAAGAAGACTGAATAAAAAAAAAGTAGTCTGTAAGATGCAATACTATGCATATTATAATGATAGTAAGATTCGTTGACCAAGCAGATATGAACCCTAACCCTAACAAACATAAATATAGTACAGTCCTATCTATATCTTTATTTATTTCAACAATCATTATCTATATCTAATTATCTAACAATTAGTCATTTTGGCAAGGTCTCAAAAATTTAGGCACGATCAGATCTGACACTACTTATATAGACTGAAATGAAGAAGGCCCAGGGCTGAAGGCTAGTCAAAAGTAAAAAAATACAGTTAAAAATCCTGAATGAAGACAGTGGCAAGCCACTTCCATACTGTTGCCAAGCAAACGTCATGAACCTATTTCTACTGTAAATAACTACAAGAATTGATAAAGCCTGTACAAATATTCAGTCTGTGAATGGGAGGCAGGGATTGTGGCCTTTCCTGCCTGAACCAAGGCAGATAGGTTTGTGCAACCATAAGTCAGTTCAACTTAGTTTTCCAGAAAACCAGTGAAAGTTAGTTACTAGTGAAGTTTTCTTTGATCTCAATGGGACCTAAATACAACTCACCCAGTCTGGGTCCAGACCACTGATTTCACCCTACATCATGTTTATTTGAAAGATGAACATATACATGTGTTAGGCTTTATGTATAGATGCTCCTACTAAAACATATTCCATCAACAGTCCAAAGCTGGCTAACATGACCA